TTAGAGCTATGTATGCGACTCAATGATGATTATGCGTCGGAAGCGAATTAAAAATTTATTTTTATTTCACCTAAAATATATATACGAGACCAAAGAAACGTTTGCAAACGAAAGGAAACGAAGCTGTTTAGCTTAATCTAATGGAACTGTAATTCCTCTAGATGATTGTAAATTTCTTGCGGCCACCGTGGCCTCTGTGATTGGATCAAGCTCGTCTGTCCCTTTAAGGTCATGCCTTTTAATTAATTAAAGTTTGATCTCTTTTCTCTCAAATTACAGATAAATCAAATGATGTTTACAATTAAAGAATGATTGTCGATTCAAATAATAATAAGGTTTTATATATTTTTTTATTGTAATGGAAATAGTTGAACATATTGGTATCAAACCGTGTATTTATGATTACAGCCAACCTAACCAATAAAAATCAAAACTTTGTCCAACTACTATAGCAAATCTATATTCGGTATAAATATTAAGTTGATAATCTATTCGAAATTAAATTTGCTCAGTTGTGCTGCACATAACCAAATGGATACAAGTTTATACGAACAAACGAAACATTGAGAGGTAGCTATTTGATTTAGTTTGAATGACCTTAATGACCGTGAATGCCCAATTGACCTTGATCTAATTATAGCTATTCGCTTTACTAATGATACTGGAAACGCGCTTGTCATTCTTTTGTATTTTAACATTTCTGGAACGTCACCAAATATATTATGTGAATACTAACTGACGCGTTCTGTTTGTATCGTTCGATCGGTTCGAATGCGAAAGAAATGCGAGAAAATGCAACGTGTGAATCGACGGTTAATCAAGGACCGTGTTTGCTGCCTAGTCGAAATCGGTATAGAATTAATATTTTCTCCGACATTGTCTCCGAGACTCTACCTTACGTCAAAAACAGAATTCATTCGATGTAAGAATAAAATTAAGAAATTAATCCATTATTTAAAGACTAAAGAATAATACTACAAAAGAAGAAAAGATATATATAGTTGAATGTACACCCGTAACAAGGAAAAATTTAATAATTAACGATCAATGATGGTTCCACGATCTTTTTTCATTGTTTAGATCATACTCTCTAATGATTATATTATAATTTATATTATAGCATTAGAGAATTTAAATGTATACATAAATTATATAATATTTTCCATATGTCAGTATAAGTAAATATTTCTGTTACTTCTGGAGTAATTTAATGAAACTTATAAAAAAGATGAAATAAAGACAATGATTATGTCATTATGATATCATAAAATAATAAATATTAAGAAAATCTTATTTCCTATGCTTCATTTTGTCTGAATATAATTTTGATGCTTCAACAAATATAAATACTTCTTAAAATTATTCTAATATTTCTTCTTGCATTCTGTGAAATAATGATTATATATTATTATATGCTCAATTTTGTGAGTGAATTGTAAATAAGAAAAAGAGTAGAGTATTTGGAACAAAGTTGTTTCCTACGTATAATTAGGCTAGGCTTGCAACGCTTTACTGTTTTATTCGAACAAAACGGACAAAGCTTTTTTATAAGGACAACTATTACTAATTAGTGTTAACGTTTCGAATAATGAGGTTATTACGCGCGGTGGTAACAGTACGCGTTTTGATGGATGTTCAGACAGAATACCGTGCTAATTGATATATTACCCCTGGGTATTTCTTTTTCATTTGTATATATGCAATGTATTGATTGCAGTAAGCGAAAAATGTAAATGTTCATTGGGAAAAGTCTGACAAAGCCTTCCGTTCTAGTTGCAAATGATTCAGAACAATTCTTGTTACGCGTTCAACTCCTAAACGGCGATGAAAAATATACTGATCGGGCTCGTAGTGTTGAGGATTGTAACCGCAAGATGTTCGTTAGAGATATGCGCTTCTAACAGGGAAAATAAAAGAAAACAGGGTTCAGCGCA